GTGGTGCGCAACCTTTGCATATAGAGTCCAGTTCCTGTTGATGTAGTTCTTGAATTGTTCGCCATTGAAGTATCTATCATCAATAAGATACCCCAATAGTGAAAGAGATTGATGCTCCATCGAGAACTCCTCCGCTGTGAGAACCCAATTCTTAGAACCTCTCTGCTTAGTATGTTGGGCGAAATACATTTTATTTGGACCCTTTAAAACAAACTTAGGACAAATTAATCCCGTTTAACTAATAAACATGAAAAGGATTCAATTGAACCATTTGGAAAACCTAAGGACTTAAGTAATTAAGCTAACCTATATAAAGGACCAGGAAGTAAATATTATTTTTCTTTCTTCCTATCTGGAACATCCGAGGCTATTCCCAAACCCAATTTTGCTTCACTTTCTCCATCTTTCTCCAATGTTCAACCGACCAGCCCTCACCTTGTTCACCAGTCTTCACTTCATCGTCTTGTAATGGCTCCATCGTCCTCCTTCACCATGTATTATCTTTAACTTTCATCTTCCATCAATTCCTTCCATTAGAGATTGATTATATCAGTAAAAGGGAAAAAAAAGAAGAGAAGACGGATTAAGAAGTAAAATTAAAAGGAAGAGAATCGAGAGAGGAGGGCCGAAAGTGAGGGTGAGTGAATAAGGAAGGAGCGATTAATTCGATCAACAAGGGAGTAGTAGCTGAGGTGATTTAGGAACACTGAGAAGCAGCCAAAACAGGTATAATTTCTGCCCGAATGATATATAGTTCATGCTTAGAAGGTTTGGAATTGATTAGAAGAATTTAAGGATCTGTTTGTAGTAGCTAAACCTCATGCTCCTTGTTGTGTGTTATTCTTGGTCTCTAAGGACTGTAATTAGAACTATAAGGACGATTTATTTATGTTCTGGAGGTATACATGCTAGTCGCAAGGTAAAATGCCTAGAAGGAATTAGGAAAGATTCATATTTGATTAGCTATCTTTTGAGGGGTTCAATTATCATGTTTTATGGATCTTTTATGCATTTTTTTTTTGTTTAAATCTTATTGGATTATTATGGACTGTTTTGCTTTTCATGTTCTGCCAAAAGGCTATGTCGAACGCGGGAAATTTTGTTTGAAACATAGGACCTTGAGTAGTGTATTCTGAAATTGCCAAAAAAAAAAAAATCCCGTTTCACTACCCTCTGTTGAGTGACCTTTTTCTCTTAGGTCGATAATTCTTTTTAAGGATTTCTTTTCTTGAATATCTTCTCCTTTTAGTTTAGTTTATTCCTTTTTTACGGATCTTAAAATGGACTTGTAGATTGTCCAAAATCATCATTTGAACATCACACGCTCGAACTGAAAATCTGTGGAAAAATCAAATTCTGAGTTTCTGTTTAGGGGTCAGTTTCTCCTATATTTTGTATTGTTTTCAGAGATTTCATTTCATGAATACCTCCTATGTTTGGTGAGGTTTATGTCAGTCTTAACGGTTCGTGAATAGGAGTTATGGTTGGTCCAGAAGCTCAATTTGAATGTGACATAAAATCTGGAAATTTAAGTTTAAAAAAAAATCTGGTTTGGGGTGCTGTTTAAAGGGACTTGTTTCTCTTAGTTTCCGAACTTCTTTTTCTGATTTCGTTTGATAAAATTCTTCTCTGGTTATCCTAGTTTATTTTGGTTTTAACGGCTCATAAATTGGATTAATGATTTGATCAAAAATATATTTTGAATATGACCTTTTGCCATGAGTTTTCTGAATTTTCAGAACTTAGGAAATAAAGGACTTAGTTGGAGCCTTCTGTTCATTTCTTTGTGCACTCATCTCCCAGGATGTTTTATACACTATGATTCCCTGTTCAACAAAAAATACATGATAGAATTTTTGGGCTTTAGTAATAGCATCTCAATGCTTAAGAGTTATGATTTGTAACTTGAATGAACGAATCCGGATATTCTAACAATTCTGTTCTGAGGTGCTGTTTTGAGGGGCTATTCTTCCCTCCTTGTTAAGCTGTCTTTTCTGAATTCTTTTGCTAAAAGTCTTCCTTGTTTACACTAGTTTATGATGGTTTTAACGACTCGTCGATCGGATCTTTGATTTGATGGAAAACTTGCCTTGAATATGGCATCTTTGCAACCTTTTTGTTAAATATATTTTTTTCAGAATACTAGAGTTGAAAGGTTAACTTTCAAACTTTGATATTCATGGACCTAAACTCATCTCTTATGAATGCTTCCTTCTGGTTCTTTCTTTGTCCATCAAGGTAGTACACCCTCTAGCTAGGTAGTATTAAGTAGGTTAACAGTGCTTGTAAGAGGAAGGTAAAGACTACTCAAGTGAGTACCTCCTCTCAGGCTTTATATTGTAACTTTGTCTCCCCCTCTCAGTGCATGATGACTGTTGAGTGCTTCTGTGCTTTTACTTGATTGAAGTGCAAGCTTGGTGCTTCTACTTGAACATGTGATACGTGATTGTAATGGTATTACTTGTTTATGTGTTAATTGAATTGAGTTGCTTGCCCTTCTATTCGGTTGTATACTTTATCACACCGAGAATCGCTACTGTCAGGATCTGTCTTGTAAAGAATACTTGTGTATGAATTGCCATGAAATTGTTGAGACTTGGATGTGTACATTATCACACCGGTCTCGGGGCCCCCGTACCATAGATCGAATCCAACGGGTCGGCATTGGGCACAGACGTATGGATAGACTATGGATAGCTTTAATAGGCGTGCACAAGCTACGAGTACTTGATTGTTGTGGCCACTTGGAGTGACAGGTAATTGTTAATGGACTTGAAACCTATTGTAAATGAACTTGAATTTATTGAACCTTGATTAGAATCTAGCTTGGAGGACGACCTATTAGACCACATAGGTCTTTGGCAGTTTTTCAGTTATGATCCACCCGTATTCTTTCATGAATTTGTTGATGATCTTGGCTAAGGTCATCTTTTCTGTGGTAATGTGTGATAGAGTAGTCCTTTTACAAATGTAGTTTACTACATCAATTCGTCCATTGTACTTATTCAATGAGCTAGAATAATAGAATTGCTTACGCTCTTTCATTAATTAAAATAAAAATGGATAAAAATGAATTGTGTGAATAACTGCATGTGTATGTGACTTGATTACCGTATAGAGCGTGAGAGACTGGGAGTTGTTGTCTGAGATATTCATTGGGCTTTTAAGCTCATCCCTTTAACTTTCTCCACCACAGGTTAGCACGTGAGTTGGGACCGCGATTGGGTGTGAAAGGGATTGATCATATTTTCTTTTGTTTAAACATGAATGATGTTTAAGTTATAATGGAGTTCCTGTAGTCGAAGGCGACTTTGATATTAGATAGTATTTAATATTGAAAATATCATTTGTTTTAGTTAAATTTCTGCCGTTTAAACTTGAAATTAAATTTGTAATATGTAGTTGGTTTTGTATCACTGACGCCTTGGGCAAGAGATTGCTCGGTGGGCATCCTACCTCACGAGCTTTTCCAATGGTCTTTCTACATACTCAAAAAAAAAAAAAAAAATAGCTCGTGAAATGTGGGTTGTTACATCCGCTGTGGCTGAGATCTGTTTGTTGAGAACCCTCATATTGGGTCTGTAGATCATATTTGGCGGCACATCATGTATTGGATTATAGCTCTTCATCTCCTCTGAGAACTCAGTTCCTTGAGGAGTATAGACACTAGATATTGAGTTTTCACTTGCATGTGAATAAGACATGTTGATCTCTTATTTAAAGAATCAGATCTGATCTTCTGAAAGGTTTTACTAGAAATAAATGCTCCCTTTGACCCACCAGTGAACTCTGATCGTTTACCCCAAGTGAAACTAACTAGCATTTAAGATCTTTCCAAGACTGCAACCTTTGCATGCACCAGAATAACTTCGTAAAACGCTTTAGTTCTTTTGGGAAAAGAAAACGATATTTCTGATTATTAAAGGGTGTATTTTGGATTGTTGAAAGAAAATAAAAAGGCAGCTTTCAGTTCGAAAAAGGCCAAGACTCAAAAGCAGAGGTTGATTCCTAGAAAGATAAAATACTTTATCACACTGGGGGACTCAAAACGTCTCCTAGAGAAGTTAAATAACCTCAGATCCAGGCTAGAGAATGTTGGTTTGGGATTAAATTAATAGAAAGTAAAGAACATGCCTTCCATTTGGAATTTGCATATGCAAGCCAAATGGCGTTTTCCACCTTTCGATCTCCACTGTCTCAAGAAAACTGTTTTTGGGTGGTTTTATAATACTCCTAAGAATAGTTTTCCTCTTCCAAGATAGAATATAGAAGGATTTTGGTTTTTTGTGCCTCTCCAAGGAGAGGATTTTCTCTCTCTTCTTTCTAGAGAGAAGGGAGAGTGTTGTATCAGCAGTACTGTTAATACCACAGTTGAAAATATTTTGTACTTCAGAAGAGTGAATCCTATTCGATGATTGCCTATTATTTTTTCAATTGATATTTTAATTTAGAAAGATTTTTTAATTCTTCACTATACGCATCATTTTCTTGAAAAGATATTATACTTTGATAATAAAATGACAAGACATAATTTTTATTTTTTTTTTTGCAAACAAGGTAAATCGTTGTGCCTGTGAAATTTTTTTTTCTTTGAAAAAAAATATAAGGTACATCTTGTAGGTAAAACTAATGCGATGCCATACAGATAATCTTCAATATTATTAATGCATGTAGTCAGTTATATAACTATGTTTGTTAGCGAAGGATCCTACTCGGGTTGAAGGCGTTGCAGCTTTTTGATAAATCAATTTATCAAATCGGCAAGATCTAAGAAGAATAGTACTAATGAAGAAGCTGCAGCAAACTGAAATGAAGTTCGTGCAAATGTTGAACTAAATATATATATATATATATATAATTAATTGATTCATAAAATGTACAGTAATATTGTTGTTTAGACTTGCTGCCATTTTTATCTTTTGTAACCAACAACTTCTTATTTTCTTTCTTTTATTTTCTTAATTTTTTTCAATTAAAAAAAAATTGAAAATTGATGGGAAATCTGGATAGGCACGGAGTGGACATTTCCCCACTAGCCGTTTTAACCGCCATTTTAAAAAATTCGGACATAATTTGTCACATGTCCCCGTTAACCACGTATGTAGTTCCCTTGTATTTTGTAAAAATTGATCAAAATAAAATCCCAAACAGAAAGAAAAGTGAACATATATATATCATTCCATCTGATGAAAAATTTGGGAGCCGAAGGAAAATTTAAAAGTTTTTCCCTTGTTTATGTTTAAGAAGATGGTAAGAAACAGAATGGAAAATGAGGAGATCAAGAAGGGGCCATGGACTGCTGAGGAAGATGAGATACTGATGAATTTCATCAAGGAAAATGGCCCAAAAGACTGGAGCACCATACGATCCAAAGGGCTCTTGCCAAGAACTGGAAAGTCCTGTCGTCTACGATGGGTTAATAAGCTTCAACCCAACTTGAAAAAGTACAAATTCTCAATCACATTCAACGATTAATTACGACCCTTTTAATTCTCTTTCCCTTTCGTGGTTCAATTTTGTTGGGGATGACATCAAATGTAGAGTTACAATTACAAGTTTTAAGTTCTTAATACTCTGTTTTTCATGTCCTTTTTGGTTCTTTTGATTTAATTTTGAACTTGTATTTTTGTGGAAAAAATGTAGAGGATGCAAATTTTCGGCAGAGGAAGAGAGGTTGGTGCTGGAATTGCAGGCCACAATTGGGAACAAATGGGCAGCAATCTCAACTTATTTACCAGGAAGAACAGATAACGATGTGAAGAATTTTTGGAGCACAAGGCAAAAGAGGCTGGCTAGGATTTTGCGAACTTCATCACAACCAAATAGGAACCTTAAGAGAAGAGGAAAAGCACCTGTTGTGGATGAAGCTTCTCCATCCCTCCAAGTGAGAACATCTTTCACACTTTTAGTAAAATAATTTTTTGTTCAATTTTTTTTTCCTTCTTTAATTTCCATTTCGTGATAAGAAAGAATTAGATGATGATCTTGTAGTACGGGAAAGGGGAATAATGTATATTATACTTCCGTCCCTCTAAAAAAAAATAGTTTATGTTGTTAAATTACTTTGATTGAACCAAAATTACAAGACAGAGAAGAAGGCTATAGTGCGATGTAACAATGACTCCGAAAAATCATATACTCCCTCTGTCCCAAAATTATTGTTCAATTTAATATTTTACTTTTAGTACAGTCCCAAAATTATTGTCCAGTTTGAGATTTCACTTTCAGTACAATTTGAACTAAAAATGAAAACTCAAACTGGACAATAATTATAGGACGGAGGGAGTATTTCTTTTGTCTCAAAATAACTGTTTAAATTAGATTTTTGTTTGTAGTACAAATTATACTAAAATTGAAAATCCAAACTAGACGATCATTTTACTATCATAATTCATTGTGAGTTTTGCTAAGTTTGTTGTCAATGGGCTAGTTACTGTTCCGCTAAAATATTTCGAAGTAAATCTCGAATCTTGCCATACATTTCAGGATTCCAAGGTCAGTACCAACCAACCAGGGGAATCAGCATTACTAAATTGTAAGCTTTGCTCCTGTCTATGCTCGGAAAGCTTCCCTAGTGTCAATTTTATGTCACCACCATCAAATTGGTTCCCCCCATTTCTTGTTGATTACAATATGAACTTACCTCCAATGATGGATGTTAAAACAAATGTCGCACAACCACCAACTTCTTTTCATCCAAATGATGATCATCATATCTCCTTCACCAATAATCAGTTGCTGACTTCAACAGTAGTCAATGACCTTCTACTAGTGCAAGAAAATCATGATAACTTTGGAGAGCAAAAGTTCATGGAGGGTTTTGCTTATCATCAAGAAGAAGCATTTGAAGTGGGAACTATGGCACAAGAGCTTAACTCGGGATTATCTTTGGAGCTACTGGAAGCTAATGATCAAAATTACGGAGACAATAATGTTGCTGATGATTACAAAGATAGTAGTAATATGATCCCAATGCCTGCTGATTTATTTGATGATTTCTCAGATGACATGCTTGATAACATAGATAAAGCTCCTCCTAGTTCATCATCCTCCTGAATCAATTTGGGTCAGGATATCTCTGTAGTTGCTGGGGCAACTTTTAACTCCAACATAAACAGCGCTAGGGTGTTAGAATCTAGAAAAGGTCTTGTACTATGGATAATTCGATCGTGTGACTCTTGCATTTCTTTTCGTTGGCCTTATATATATATATATATATTTATATTTATATTTAAATTTATATCAACTATTAAAATGTAGTTTCAGTTCGAATATATGTGTCTACCTACTTACAACATTTCCTGATTCATTCATTCAAAAATTGAAAATCTAAGGCTCTGTTTGTTTGAATTTTGTTTTAATGGTTTTTTCAGTTTATTTTATTAATAATTGTCTCATTCCATCATATCTTTTTACATTACAAACACATCTTTTTACATTCTTAATAAAAAAAAAAACACATAAACACACACACTAAAAAAACGAAACAAACATACCCTAAATTTAAAGAAACAAAATCAGCATCCATTTTGTTTACCACAAAAATAAAATAAAAATTGAAATCCATTTATTTGGGTATACTTAACTGCTTTTGAGGGAAACAACTAACTTGAAAAAAAAAATATCCCACAAAAATAGTCCACATTTAGTTTTGAGTTTTGTACTATTTTTAGTATAAATTTAAAAACTTGGACTATTTTTTTTGGGACGGAGGTAGTATATATAGGAAAATACCTCTATTCTAATACCAATGCAAAAATTAATACTCGATGAAATTATAAAAGAAATCCCGCCAATCCAGACTCCGGAGGAGATGATGGTCATTTGACTACATAATCAACTGCCTTTTTTTCTTTTTTTCTTTTTTTTCCTGTCTTCCAAAGGTCAAACAAATTATTCAAATGCTAACATAAGCTCTCTCACAAAGAGGAGAAGAAACCATGGAGAATTCTCTTCAACTTCCGGTGATTGACCTTAGCTCCTCCGATCGTATGGCAACTGCACAATCTATTCGTCAGGTCCATTCTTATGGAAACCCTTCTTTACTATTATTATAATTTTACAGGGTTTCTTCCTTGTGATTTTGATTCGAGCTTGTAGTGTAGTGGTTATAATTTTATCCTTAATCCCAGTTATTTCGATTTGTCTTGATGATACTTTTATTCCTAATGTTAAAAAGACTGAAAATTTTCTGCTATTTGACAAAATGCTGATGGGTTTTTGGTTGTTCTAAGCTTCTTATTTGAAGTTTTCATTATGAATTATCTAGTTTTAGGACTAAATGTATGAATGTGAAGTAGTTATCTGTTGAAGTTTGATCATGATGAATATACCCGATTGGAAACTTCATAAGAAGCAATTACATACAGTTTCTGCTGAATGAATGTGGCTTTTGACTTGGTAGAATCACTCAAGCATTTATGATTGTTCATTTTAGGCATGTGTGGATTGTGGCTTCTTTTACCTAGTAGGCCATGGGATAGAGGAAGACTTGTTTAAAAGAGTCTTTGAAGAGAGCAAGAAATTTTTCATGCTTCCCCTTGAAGACAAACTGAAACTTTTTCGGACTAATCATCGTGGTTATACGCCCCTTTACGCTGAGAGTCTTGATCCCTCTTCAAGTTCCAGAGGTTCTTTCCCTTTCTCTGTGTGTATACCTGAATGTCCTTTTGATCTCCAGATGGTTACTTTTTTTTATATATATGCATAATATGGTTTAAACACAACTGAAAATTTTCCTCCAACTTCAAACGGTTGAATCTTGAGGTACTGAAAATTTTCTAATCAATATGTGAATATCTATACTGGTTGAATCCTTAGATTCTCTTATCGAGAATAATTATTAAACTATGTTTGCGGAGTAAATCTGTAAAACATTGAAGATTGAGACGCGTGTATTTTTCAGACATTTTCTCGGTGTGGGGTTTTGGGTTGAGGGACTTTCTTAGGATCTTCAAAATGGAAGTAACTTTTTAGTTTCTTGTTGTCTCTTATTTCAATGACCTGAAGCATTTTTTGACCCCTTACATGTGGTGAATTAGGTGACTCGAAAGAAGGTTTCTACGTTGGTCCTTTAAATGACAAGAAAACAGGTGAAGATTTGAATCAGTGGCCTCCAGCAGGTATTCTAGCATTTTCAGATCTGCCTTTTCTATAAATTGAGAAATCTTTACTAGTAATGTTTCATTACCCTTACTCAACTTTTCATCTCCCAGGCGTGCTTCCACACTGGAGATCGACGGTGGAACAATACTACAGAAGTGTCTTGTAAGTATTTGAGCACGTCTAAAGTTTGGTCTAATTGTTCTTTCTGGATGTTGAAATTCGGATTTCAGACTAGACATATGAATTATGTAATATTCCCTTCCTTTACTGATTTGTGGTTGAGTTATATTTCTGCTTTCATTAAAATTATTGGAGGCCACAAGCATTAGTTTTCTGGTTCCAGGCCTTCCTTTGCTTGTTTATTTTGACTTAGTGGCTGATAATTGATTTCCAGCTGTTGTGACATCTGCCAGTTGATTCAAATGTTTGTTCTCCTTCCATGAGCCTTGAAGAAATAGCTTGGTTATGCAATGCATAGACTGAGTGTGATTTTTGTTTCACTTTTCAGAAAAGTTGGAGTAAAGTTGACCTCATTAGTTGCTCTGGCACTAAACTTGGATGAAGATTTCTTTGAGAAAATTGGAGCTCTTGATCAATGTAATGGTTTCCTCCGCCTATTGCATTATCCAGGTCTGTTTATAGAACATTGTTTTCTTTGTCAATGGGACTCTGCACATGAGCACTTGTCTTTCAGCAGCTTTTCCAATCTTTTTTCCTGTAAGTTAGAGTTAAGTTAAAAGCATTATACAATAATGTGGCTTTGCATCATCTTGTGGCTTTAGATTGACTGAATCACTGGAAATATCATTTGTTAATAGGTCAGACTCCAAACACATTCTATCTTTGTATCGTGAAGAACTAGAAATTAGCGCAATTGAAACTGGCCATTTAACATCCATGTTTTCATCATTTCTGGCAGGGGAAGTTGAAAGTTCTGATCGACAGATTTATGGTGCTTCTGCTCATTCAGACTATGGAATGATCACTCTTCTAGCAGCAGAGGATATTAGTGGCCTTCAGGCATGTTCCTTTTTATCAACATTGGCAACAAATACCATTTATTATTGGAGATCTGGCATATTTAGCTTCCTTTTAGTTAACTTCTCAAGGTTGGCAGGTTTGTAGGGAAAAATTTGCACAACCTCTTGTCTGGGAAGATGTTCACAATCTGAGGGGGTTAGTTTTCAGTTTTATCTTGTTTCTTTTTTTCTGTGGACCTCAGCAACTGCGTGTGTGCATACATGAAAGTCGCATTTTTTGAGAGCATACAAATTTTCTTGCAATTTTGTTCTGCAGGGCTTTCATAGTTAATATCGGAGATATGATGGAGAGATGGACAAATTGTTTATTCAGGTATCACCATGTCCCGTTACAATATCAATTTTTATATTTGAGTCTTCGGATCCTGATGTTACCCATTCCTGTTATAGATCAACATTGCACAGAGTGATGCCAACCGGACGAGATCGCTACTCGGTAATTAAGTTTTGTTTTCATTGACTCTGTTGTTCAAACTATGACTGTTATCCTCGTAAATCATATCCCTTTTTGTGCCTGACATCTAAGGATTGATAATACTTATTGTTCTGCTTTATGCTTCTTGCTGAGTCATTTTCTCGCCTCATTAATTTGAAAATAAAATTCCTGCTGGAGTGGCTTGGAAGATGGCAGAAAGCTGTATTCTTGAAATTAAGGGAGTATCTGAATGGACCGTCAATCAGTGTAGTCAACCTCTTTACCTTCATCACTTGTTTGACAGGAAAAACTCGTTTTGATTCGTGGAACTGCTTTTCATGAATTCTGTAATGGTTGAGGAACCTATTTGTTTCCTGCACCATGAACTAGGTTCTTATCCGATGCTATTCTAGAAACATAAAAAGGACCTGATAGCAAATTGAATCCTTAACTATGCTCTATCCATCCTATTAAGATGTCTATGGTATTGGAAAACACACTTAAACATGCCAAGCTAACAAAAATCATTTGGACTGATCTAGATGGCTTTGTTTTTGGATCCCAACCCGAATTGCTTGGTGGAATGCCTGAAGAGTTGCTGCAGTGAGTCCAACCCTCCTAGGTATGGCAAAACATGTTGAACTGACTATGACTACAAACTATTTCCAGTTTACAGCACATCTAATAACAATGCTTGCCTGGTCTTTGTATTTGTTGATGAATCTCGATCGTGTTTTTCAGCTGCGCTCTTTCTTACTTGGAGTCTTCTTTCAGTATTTTAAGGCCTGGGAGTCTTTTTCAATCTTCTTTTGTCTCCCGGAAGTGCCACCGACAATTAACATCAGAGAAAACTGATGCATATTGATGGAGTAGACAGACATTGTAAACTTTACAAAAAAATCTGAACAAAAACTAAACTTTATTCATATCTTCTTAAAGACTCTTCTGTTTCACGCCGACCTGATGTCTTTTAGCAATTGTATTCACTTTGTGTATACTCCCGGGTGAAATTGCATCGACATTAACGTAGTTGAGCTTCTTTGTTTGTGAGGATTCACAGTTGAGTTAGGATGAGTTGTGACTCAAAAGTTAAAAACTTTCTTTGAATGACATGTAGTCTTATTCATTTGTTTTTCCCTTCTTCTTTCTCCCCTTTTTCCTTTTATAAAATTTCAGTTTGTTGAAATTGGGTTGTGGTGTTGATAAATCTCAGGTATCCTCCTATACGCAGTGGAGACTACCTGGAGGAACGCTTGAGACTTTCATATGGTTCATAATTATGAACTTGGGAGTTTGAAATGGTAGGACAATTAACAAGAATTTGATGCGATCATTCTTCTTGTTTGCCTGGAATCTTTGTAGAGTTGAAGATGGTTGTTCCTTGTATTTATTGCCTTCATGTTTTGCTTACTATTCTTTTTTTTAGTCTCATTTTGCTTACTATTCCTAGAATGAATCCTGCCCCTGACAATTTAAGTTCACAGTCTAGTGGTGTCCATCATTCTAGTGATCTGAATGTTGCAAGTGTCGTTGGTTGTGGATTTGTGACGGTGGTGGATTACGTTCCGTCCAAAGATAATATTCTTACAATAATAAGACTATCATTTTAAACAAAAAAAAAATGATTTTAATAAAAAAAATGATTTATATGGTGAAACAGGCTATTTTCACTTTTAATTTTTTAAGTGACATTTTTACAAAGATCAGTTTAATGGGTATCCCTATTTGGTTTCGGAAAAGACATACCGTTTCAAAATCTAAATTGGACAATTTTTTCTGAGATCGAAGAAATACTAGCTAGCTGCTAGGCTAAAGGAATGCACACTGCATTTGAATGGTTTTTTTTTTTATGTAAGGTAGTACATCCAATATAACAACAAATGAGGAGCTTATTCACCAGGGGAACATGAATATGAAGCGGTTAGTGTGTGACATTTTATTTTTTAGTTGGTTATAATATGAATGATGGTTAAAAAATAGGAAAATATCATGTGTAGTGAAAATCATATAGTGAAAGAAAAATTGACGGATTGTGTACTCTCTATATTTTGTTGGCATTTTGCCTTTGACGCATTTTTTTTTTAAAAAAAAATCTAAAGTTATACTTTTGCCCCTAATTGTTATGTATACATTACTCATCATGTTTTTTTACTGTATTTATCATTTCTGTTAAAAATATAAATAAAAGGGAAAATGAACAGAGATATTTTAGTCTGCTAGGCTGCTACCTAAATTTTTTTTTCCCCGTTGGAGTTTAGGCGGGATAATGGGAAAGATTAAAAAGATGTGTGGGGGTAAAAACTGCATTGAATAAATACTAAAATTACTGCATGGACCCTGAAGTTTTTGTATGAAAAGAAATTATTGTGGTCCATGATTGAAAGTTTGAAACTCAACAATAAGTCTCAACCGCCTGTTTGCTTTGGCGAAAAAATACTCTTAAATCATCAGAAAATATATGTTGGTTGCTTGAATTATGGACTCGGTGGATTGATGATATATTATTTTGTATTTTTTTTCTCTAACGGGAGATATAATTTACTCATCATTTAAAAATTTAGTACATAGTTAATTTCATCATATAAACAAAGCAATATTGATTTAATACGTCATATATTATGAAATTTCATGACGGTCATTTTCCTTTATTGAGATTGATCGTTTGGTGTCATGATTGTACAATTTTTATATTTCTTTTATTTTGAAATTATTGTCCAATATGGATTTTTATTTTTATTACTAATTGACTAAAAATGAAATCTAAATAAAAATATTAATTTTCGAACTGAGTTTTTATTTTTAGTATAAATTAAATTAAAAGTAAAAATTTAAACAGAGCAATAATTCTAGAACCTGGAGTAGTTTTTTTATACAATTTATTTCGTTTGCAATATTTTTACTCTTCTTTAACTAAATTCCGAGGTACTCCTTTATTTCTGATATTTAACCCAATTTTATCTCAAGAGGATAAGTGGCGACCCCACAACCATTTATCCACTGTGAAAAACACGTTGAAACCAAAGGTAGCCCGTAAAGAATCGCCACGTGTTAAATCCCCGAAAATTTAGGGCAAATAAACAAAAGTCAACCAAAAACCAAAGGACAAACAAACAACATGTGAGGAAATAACAATTTAACATTATCATCTCAGAACAAATATGATTCTGTAGGGCCAACTCCATCACCAACCGTCAAAGACGTGGGGCTTCGGCAGATCACGTGACCCCATCACTCAATCAAGATGCGTCAAATGTTTGCTTACGTGTACTCGGGCTCATTTTCCCGTTTAGTCCGTCAAACACTAGATTTTTTTTTGCTCGAACCCAAGTAAAATAATCCGTGTCGCTCATTTTCAGGATGGAGACATTTGGACCGTTGATCATAACTTGTGGATGGAGATTTTTGTTAAACTATTCAAGACTGAGTGTGGGGCCCCTGATACAATATAAAACAATATAATTAATCGGCTGGAGATAAAAGGCTGCAGCAAGTTGGATAAAGAAAGCGATAAGGTTATTTAATTACTTTTTTGTTTTGGCTTTTTGAGAGGATAATAAAATAGTACAGAATAAAACTCATTTATTCGGCTCCTTTGTAGAATATACGGTGACTCGCTGAGTAGGTTCCACATGTCGTCCGACCTCCCGATCTCACCGACGGGTTTTTTTACGTATCGGTGATCCATTTCCAATGTGTCCAAAGGATGTAGGAGTATCATTCCATCTTCATGAAACACTCTTTATATTCTTTCTGTCCCATAATTATTATTCAATTTAATTTTTTATTTTTAGTTTAAATGATACTAAAAATAAAATCAATAATTTTGAAATGAGAAAATAGTAAAAAGGATGTCGCTTCTTAAACTAAAGTGGCAACAAGATTGTTAATATCTATTGTCAAGTTAATGTCAACAAGATTTTTGGATAAAAAATTTTTGAATCTTTGGAATCATAATTTGTAATTACAGGTTAAGTAATGGGAGTGAGCAAGATTAGGGACGATTCAGGTGAGCTCAATAAATTGGAGTTAAACATAAGTTCCACTACTCTTTTCATCTTAAAAAAATAGTTTATATTATTTTTAAAATTAAATAATACAAATAGTGAAATTCAATACATATTTTTTTGTTTGAAACATATGAATCATAACTTATTAATGATATTTTGGACTTTTTGTGGAAGAGATATATTTTCATACACACCTTTGATTACTTTTGGTTTTACGTATCGTTTGGGCCAATAGACTCATTTATTGATGTATTGACAATAAGGAGTCGCATTTTCTTTATTTGTGAAAAGGAATTAGTGTCCATCCTAGGGTGGAAGAAAATGACTGCAATAATTGTTACTTGTGTACGAAAAGGTACACAAGAAAATCTAGAAAAATACTACTCCCATTAACACTTTCTTTTCTTTTTAATTTGTTCCTTCTTCTTTTCTTTCCTTCAATACCTGGCTTGGTAGCAGCAGAGATACAGAGCCCAAACCGAATGTTATAGTGTGGTTATATCATCATGTTATCATAACACACCATTAAAAGAGAAACCTTGGAACTTATAAATTATGATAGTACTAAAAATAATTTATACCTTTTGTCCCCGAAATAATTTAGACCATCTGTCTCAAAATTGTTGTTCTCTTTCAAAATTTAAATTAAAAATAAGTAACAAATAATATTTTAGATTTTGGGAATGGGAATAATATTATATTTTCACTTTCAACGAAATTCATTTTTTTGAGAAGTTGAAAGCATTGTCTTTGATTCGTTTAACACACACTTTTATGTAGAATTTTCGATTTTATTTTTTTTATTTTGGTAAATGGATTTTCGAAATTCCAATAATCATTAGTTGCGTTGTCATCTGTTTAACAGCAAATCCAAAGAGGACAAAAAAAAAAAATACTTCTTTTGGCCATCTGTCTAAAATATTATCTATATCGATTAAAAAATACTCCCTCCATCCCATAATTATTGTCCAATTTGGAGTTTTAATTTTAGTACAAATTGAAGTAAAAAGAAGAACTCAAAGTGAACAATAATTTTAGGACAGAAAAAGTACTTCGTAATTTGAACAATATAAATACAGTCATATTGAAAGGAGAGTAACCACGCCATCCATCCATACCACAATGTACGTAAGAAGACCAAAACAATCAAGTTCGGACCTGCGATTAATTAATTATATCCTTTGCTATTTGTTATTTTGTATGATTTGTCGTCGACGACTATGGTACATTTCTTTTACACTTTTACTTCAAGAGTTCAATGCATTCTTTGAAATTCAGAATATACAATCTATCATAAAATCTATAAATGGGTCAAATAGTGCAATAAACACTGAAGATTTGCTTAATCTCCTTGTTGACAAAATGTACAATTGTACATGTACATAAAGTACGTTAGCTTTTGGTAGACTGTAGTTGATTCTTTACATGTTCATTTCAGACCTCTAAATAACTCGGATAGTATGTGATTATTAACTAAGTAATATTGTATTCCAATTAATTTTTTTTTTTAGTTTACTTTGATACTCTCTCAATCTAAAACTAGTAGTAGAAATGTATTACTTCCGTCCCCAAAAATAGTCCACATTGAGTTTTCAAATTTGTACTAAAAATAATACAAAATTCAAAACTCAATATAAACTATTTTTACGAGACGGAAGGAGTAATAAATGTGAATCTTATTTGAAACATAGGGCGTAGTATATTTTGGTGCAAGGGAGACACGACTTTTAAACTTCCTCACTCTATTTCACACTAAGATCCAACTCATCTCCCAAACGTAAAATCAACTTAATATATATTGTAGAAAAATCTTCATTTGTGGTGTCAATTAGTACTCTTTCAATATTGCAACAAAATCTCCAGCTAATATTATCGGCACAAGCGAGTGCAGACAATGTTGACTCAAATCCAAATAAGGGAATATTGTCGACCCAAAAATGAAGTTACACGAAAAGTTAAGGTTAGCCGTATGGAATTCATGTACTACTTAATCCTCCTGTAAAAATCGAGAAGTCATTCTGTTTTGTTTATTGCTTTTGACTTCTGGCTTCATCTTGTTCTTGTAACTAATCTACTTATCGGATCATGATTAAGTGGAGTTGATGTGTTTGAGCTTAGAAAGTACGAAAGGGTTCATTTCGTCAATTGTTGTGCCTATGAAGTGGCAGACCAAATTCCCTTTTTTCTTGGTGAGCTTGGTTTGGCTAATTGGGACAAATTCAAACATCGCAGCTCCCCAAGAAAAACAACTACTGGTCACATATAATTGAAGCCTTTTGAAGTTTGAGTAAGTGTTAAAAATAAGATTGGTCAGGATCTCAGTGGTTAATTACTCTCCCATCCAGAGAAAAAATACTAAAAATAAAATTAAAATTTAGAACATGTAAATCTTAAACTGGATTTTTAAAAGATTTATAACATGTAAAAATTATTATGAAATTAATAAAAACACATGATATTTTATTCCATTTCTATATTCATTTTATGATTGAAAAAAAATTCAAATCCATGTATTATAGCTTCATAAATTAAGTTATTTGTCTGGGACGGTTAGAATATTTTTTATTATACATCCTCTGACATGGTTGAGGCCCATATGGTTATACGGTATTAGCGTTATACTATTAGTCTAACTTTTATTTTTTTTTAATTTTAATTTATACCCTAAACACACAAGTGGATGAAGTGAAACCTTAGAGATAACAATGAGTTTTGTATCAAAATTTAGTGAAAAACCTTATGTTAAGATTTAACGAATGTTATAAGAAATATAATAAAGACAAGTGTGAGATTTTTTTTACCGTTAACAAAATATGTATTCAGTTATTTTACGGTTACGAGTCATAAAGAATATTAAATAAAATTAGTCTAAGCATGGAAATTTGATTTTTTTGGAGTATGAAACAACCTTTTACATTTTCAAAGAAATTTTCAAGTACTACCATTTTGGATACAGGATCCATTGAAGTAAATGTTCTAAATGGGTATATGCACCACTCCCTCAGATCATATTCATAAATCACAAATTTAAATTTAGTGATAACTTTGTGTCTCATAAATAAAACTGGAAGAAATACAGAGCAGATTATTCTTGTATTACTTTGAGAAACACCTACAACAAATAGAAAATCCCTTACAAAATTCTTGGATTACCCCAATTGATTTTTTTGCCAGCTTTTAGTTTGAACCATGTTTAATTTACCGAGATAATTATAATAGTGAAAGTTATCCTCCTAATCTTCTCTCTTCATACACGTACAATTTATGATTCATTGGCCATTGTTAGCGATATGTATATGTACCCCGAGCTCGAAGGACATCCCTGATTATCTTTTCTAACTCTTGTCATTCTTTTACTCTATATCTTAATTATTTCTTAACAAAATATTTTGGTTTCGGATACTAATATTTATGTCATTCATCACTCTTCTATCATAATTAATGCACATTTGAGATAAATTGAAAATGACGTTCGATGAAATCTTAAGCATATCTTTGGATCATACCTTTCTAAATATACGATATACCCACACTAGATTTTCTATAAAACAGAAATTTCTTCATTTTCTTTTTACTTTTTCCAAATGAAAAAACTTTTATAAGTTTTTACTCAGTGGTAAAGGTTAAATATTATTATTAGGAGAGTTTTACCTTTGAAATGAGAAGCGCTCAATTCCAAAAAACTACTGTACAAAGATATTAACAATCAAATCAAGCTTATTCGATGAATTATTAGATATACATGATAGATTAATTTTTTTTTTTAAAGAAATGTGATGGATAAAATTCAAGAGATTACTTCAATATAAAAATTAAATCAACTCTATCCAAAATAAATAGTCGGATAGAAATCAACGGTTCAAGTTGGCAAAGCACCCCCCATAGCTTTACAACGTAAGCCTTATCGCACCGAATCATTTCCAAACACCTTTTTATATTATCTCTTCACCTAAATTAAATAAACCTCATCATCTCATTATCCTTCGCCTACATGTCCTGTCTTCCTCTCCCTCTTCCTTAATTTTCTCTCTCTGTATCTATCGGTTTCTTCCAAACAACATTTTTACCGATTTCCATCTTTTTCACTCTTGAGGAGAAGGAGAATAAAACATTCCTTTTCTTCTTCATTCAATCTTACCCGGATAAAAACACAAAAAAGCAGTAATATCCAGCAAAGAACCTTATTTTCCCGGTTTTCTCAGATCACGTGGGGCAATGAGATTCAAACAAAGATTGATGCTTTGAATTGGAGAAGTGAGAAAGGGAGAGATCCGATCGAGCTTTGGATTTGATCGTATTCGGGTTTGGTTTGAAGCGGATCGTTCGAGGATGACGAGGAGGTGTTCGCATTGCAGTCATAACGGCCATAATTCTAGGACGTGTCCGAACAGGGGAGTTAAGTTATTTGGGGTCCGATTAACTGATGGGTTGATCCGGAAAAGTGCTAGTATGGGTAACTTGTCCCATTACAGTAGTGCTGGCGGTGGTGGTGGCTGTGGAAGTGGCGGTGCTACTCCGGTAAATGGTTTGGCTGCTTCCCATGATTCACCCGGCGACACCCCTGATCATCCCTCTGCGGATGGATATGCTTCTGAAGATTTCGTGCCTGGGTCTTCATCGAGCCGTGAAAGGAAGAAAGGTACTTGTTCTTTGATTGAGCTTCTGCTGAATGCTTTGATTAATGCTCCCATTTTCAATTGTTCGTGTTTGTATTGAATTTAATATGAACTCTTGTTGGATATGGATCTATGGAAGTGCTCACTTGACTGGTTTTTGTTACAAGAAATTAAATCAATTTTACGATTGAACTACCCACCTTTAGAGAATTGGACGCGTGAAAGTGTTGTTTTTTTCAACGGGTTCTTCCAATCACAACTAGTGTTTCCATTTATAGATTCTTTTTGGGATTCTCGTATTTTGTTGGGCTGATTTGTGGCTAGTGGTATGGGTTTTGTGGAGGTTGTCCTTGAAAGTTTGTTGCCAAGTTAATGGTGGGCACTGTGTGGTTGTCCAGTGTTTGCTGTATTTATGTTGGAAAGAATATCTTGCTTTTCCTTTTCTGGAAATTTTGAGGTTTCTGTTTCGCTGAAAGGATTGCACTGAAGAAAAAGGGAACAAATTTTGTTCTGTCACATTTTAAATTAATTTGGTCTGCACTTTTTAATCCAATGGTTGATTTCTGAAAATGGATATTAAAGAAAAAGGAATTTGTTCTCTAGTGTGTTGTATGGTTCAAGATCCTGGCCTTCTTGGTGTAGTCACTGATTTGTGTAGACATCAGTTCTAGCTTCATGTTTTGGATGTGTCCAATTTTGATCAGAAACTTTATATGCTAGTTATCCTATGAGCATGGAATTATTGGAGAAATGGGAATGGGTTTCAATGACAATCTTGGAGAGGGTAGTGAGCATGTTTATTGAGATTTCAGCCATTCTTGGGATTTGAAGGTTGTGGTTATTTGTACTTGACTAATGTAGAAGGTTTTGTCCTATAGACTTGTTGGGGGTCAAAAGAATTGGTGTTTGGTGGATATTTTTTGTATTGATCTCGTCTGTGACCAGAAATCTGGCTTCTGTTGTGGTGGACTGATAGATTATATTCGATATTGATTTCAGGTGTTCCCTGGACTGAAGAGGAACATAGGATGTTCTTGCTTGGTCTGCAAAAACTTGGTAAAGGTGACTGGCGTGGGATTGCACGGAACTATGTAATCTCTAGAACACCAACTCAGGTTGCCAGCCATGCTCAGAAATACTTTATTAGACAAACTAATGTGTCCAGGAGAAAGAGACGCTCCAGCTTATTTGATATTGTTGCTGATGAAGTAAGCTTCATATTCCTGCTTTATTTACCGGGCTGCATGTTTTTAGTTTAAAAACTGATGAATATTGTTTGACTATTAAGTTTGTTGGGTTGATACTGATAGCTGTTTTCAGCTTTCTTGATAGAGTAAATTATGCAAGTCTGCTTTTAATTTTAGTCAAGAATCATTAGAAAAACAAATTTAGATACTGATGTCAATGAAAAGTTTAGGTTTAGTTGCTTCTCAATATTTATCACCCTGGTGTTGGTAGATGCATCTGCAATTTACTCTGCTAGTTTTTTGTCTAGAGAAAATTTTAAGAGGTTCAGTCTGATTGACATTACAGTGTCGATTAATATACATGGATTGCTTTTAATTTTTCTGGGGATAGTAAAGCATATTTTTTCCTGTCTTCAATGTGCAGCCTGTTGATGCACCATTGGTATCTCGAGATTTCTTTTCTGCAAATGGTCCTGAAGCGGAAATGCAAAGCAACAATGAATTACCTGCAGCCTCACCCATTGCTATGGATGAGGAGGGTGAATCAGTAGATTCTGCCAACTCCAACGATGTAGAACCTGAACAGCCTAATCCAGATAGCTCTCAGTACTCTTATCCTGTTGTATATCCGACGTATGTTGCTCCATTTTTTCCTGTGGCTTTCCCTATGTGGTCTGGCTACACAGCTGAACCTCCCAGACAACAAGATTTCCATGAAGTACTCAAGCCAACAGCAGTTCACTCAAAGAGCCCGATTAATGTGGATGAGCTTGTTGGCATGTCAAAACTGAGCTTGAAGGAATCTATGGGAGATGGTCGACCTCCTCTGTCCCTGAAATTGGTGGATGGCTCATCAAGACAGTCAGCTTTCCATGCAAATCCTTCTTCTGGAACTTCAGGCATGAACTCTGGCCATAGTCCGATTCATGCAGTGTGAAGACCATTCGTTTGGCTTAGAAAATTTCGGAGCCTGTTGAGGTTCCTGTTAATACATAACATCAGTACTTAGCTGGTTTGAGTTGCTTAGAATTATTTGTTGGATTAGCATATAATAAGCTTGGGGTTAGGGATTGTTGACGCTAGTTTCTGTAGTCAGTGCTCCATATAGTTGCTTTAGGAACTCCCTAAAACTTTTATAATATTTTTAGTTTTTTGAGATGATTTGGGCCATGCGATTTCATTATTCATATATGCATTTGGGGGTCTAGAATCTCAAGATCGCATGCCTTTTGGGAACAGGATACAAGAAAATTTTGACGAAGCTGGTGGTGTGGGATTAGCTACATTAAGTGCAAAAAACCGGTGTTGCTTTTCTGAACTGACTTTGGACTCCGGATGGTTATCGTCAGAGTTTAAGCATCTACATTGAAAAATGAGATCCCTTGACGATGATGATGACTCCAGGTTTCTAGACTAGATTAAGGTTTGTGCGACTAATAACCTTCTTTATCCCACATTCCTGTTTCGGAACGAGATCTGGTAGCAGGGGGAGTATGAAAGTGAAAACTAGGGAATTGCAAAGAGCGCAGTAACTGGGCAGAGACGTTCGAGAGCTAATCTTTGCATCTCGGCCTATGTTTGGGGCTGTGGTCTGTGAGTAATTGATCCCGATATTGGTTTGAATCAACCCAGGTGTTATCATTGTTCATCAAGATCACTAAAATCATTTGGCAAACTCCACCCTGATGAGTTCAGTGGGACATTTCAACAAACAGTTTCAGGATGGGGCACTCGAGACTGCAGAAGATGTTACCCGAAGGAATGCAATCGTGTCGTGATTATATCAGTGAGTTGCCAGATGAGATTCTGGCAATGATTCTGTCTGGCTTGGACATGAAAGAGGCTGCAAGGACCTCTGTCCTTTCTCGTAGATGGATAAAGCTTTGGAAACTCTTTGCCGGTTACTTGGATTTAGAGTCTAAAGTCACCATGCATCTCCATTGCGTCGTGATGATTATTTTACACGTGTTGATTGTGCATCTTCCATTCATGATTGGATCAGCTTCGCCATTGTTAGAAGGGTTCAAAGGTTTGAACTGGACCTGACCCATTGTAAAGGATGCCGGCGCTGGTTTTGAAAATAATGGCTAAACTTTCCCTGCCTGGATATTCTTTGATGACTCCCCAGCTTGCGCTGGCTAATTTCCCTGTGCTTGAAATCTGTTTCTATAGCGGAGGAAGATCTTGAATTCTTCTTATCCAGATGTTTGTTGCTCGAGCAATATCGGTGGAGAATGCTTCTGGTGTAGATAGGATGAGAATTTCTGATCAAACAAGTAAACTGAAACACTTGGAGATCAGATACTGTTTCAACTTTCAAGTTGGAGGACGTAGAGGTTGTCCATCCGCAAGTTTGACATCTTTCAAATATGCGGGTAAAAGAACAAACATATGCTTTGCAAGTGTTCCTAGCATCTCTTCAATGTCCACAGAAGTTTGTTTCTTAATCGGCTTCAGAACTTGGAACTAGGATTGGGCTTTTGTTAACCAGTTGAGGCGTCTGAACTTCCATAGCAACTTTCCGGAATTCAGCTTGTTGAATTTATTGGTTGGGTCGGAGTTAAGGCGGATGTTCAACTTGGTAAAGTTTTGATCCATAGTACTGCCAAATCACTTGAGAAGCGCGTATTTGATCTCTCTGGATTCCGCATTTCGCTGTGATTACTGTTCATGGAGTAGAGAGCTTTTCATGAATGGTTCAGAATGTGCTTTTCGGATCGCTATGCAACTCGAAGGGAAACTCTCGCCGGGGCGAAGTTAATTATCCTTAAGTCTCTGTTTTATCTTCATATAACTTTCAAATAGGTGAAACCTTTAAGCTAGAATCTTCATTATCAAAATTCTGACTTAAAACATATGTCCACAAACTAATCACTCTTCCATGAGTGCTTGATAATGAGATCCCCACTTCAGGGATTAAGTCAGGCTGTTTTTTCAGAGTAGCAACCGCAATTGGCCTATAGCTAGCCTTCTCACAGCTTTGCTTCCGATATCTTTGATCTGCGCAACATACAAATAAGTTAATTTGGGTTGCAAGTTGCAACAAACAAGGTTTCTACTTTTTTTGGACAATGGGGGTCGCATTTACATGTAAAAGATGTATTTTTCCAAGTATGGACTTTTCAAACCTTTGGCTCCCTTAATGGATCTGTTACCAAAGAACTTTTTCCAAAAGAAGTCAATTTATTTCATTCACAATGAACTTTTGAAAGCACAGTTTCAAATACAAATGTAGAGCAATGTTTCGGAAGTTGAGCATGCATCATTGATAAATGGTAACTAAACTCTACAGTGGTATGAGTTCAATTTGGTCCACAGTGGGATATTGTCGGATCCAAGGAAGCCGAGCTGGAATTAACCGGACAGAACCCGTCCCAGTCCTCCTCCTCTGTAGCTGAATACAGAAATGCATCCGGATTAACTCTTTTAGCCAATTCCATGTGGTTCTAATCCCCAAACATGGCAACTGAGCAAAGGAAAACAACAAGGCGACCGAAAAAAGAACCGGCCAGAGACGTTCAGGAACAAGAATCGATACTATGGATGCCAATGAAATCGGACCTGAAAATGCCAAACCCGCGCAAACAAAGATGTCGCGAGCTCTGTTTATATTCAAGTAGGAAGCGCGACGATGGTGATTTCTGAAGAATCGAAGCTTAGCATCGTACGCGAAGCAATACACAATCAAACTTGCAGTGGCTAAGTAAGTTGTTTTCGGGTGGGTTTCAAAAGGGGATTCAGTTTTTCCCTGGAACTTCACTTGAACGAAGTTCAGTAATATTGCTACAAGAAAGGCGAAAATGGCCTGTCGGGTGGACATTATGTCCTGGAAGTGTCCAAGAGTATAGTAGCATGTTGTGGTACGAGTGAAATGAATATGGAAGTTTTTGTCTCCCAAGTGGAGGTGAGGATAGTTTGTTGTCCCGGTTTGAGGCATTGGAGAAAACTCAGAAAAGAATGTAAATTGGATAGCGCGGAAAATTATATCCGAAATGCAGAGTCGAATCACACTCTTACAAGTTACAAGATTTCTTTGAATGTCAAAACACTCAAAACTCTTGTTGTATATATAATTGGAGAAAGCTGTCTAGTATTCTATGCGTTTTTAAATGATTGTCCAGTTTGAATTTTCATTTTTAATAAAAATTGAATTAAATGTGAAATTTAAACTAGTAATCATTTTAGAGCAAATGAAGTAATACCCATGCCTAACTATATAGTCGTGCTACTCCGCGCTTTGTCATTAACTATTATATTTAAACTGAAATATCGAGACACAATCTTTTTAGAAAAATTATGCATAACCCTCAACATCGTCGATGCACGTTCTTGTTAATTATTACCTCCATCCTCTCTCTCTCTATATATATATCCACTTTGGTATAATATTTTGATTTAAATAAAAATATTCTTCGGACAAAGAGTATTATAATTGTGTATGCCCGTCCTCCGACTCTTAAACTTATGATCTACTTGTATTGTATTAACACACAGATATATATATATATATATATATATATATATATTTCTTCTATCCCGAAATAATTATCCGACTAGGATTTTATTTGTAGTACAAATATTTCGAGATAGAAAGTATATACTTCACATTATGAAACATTTCTACTGCAACTTTTAATATCTGTTTAAAGACTTACAATGCTTTTTGTTCATTTTTACTAAGTTTTTTTTTTCCTTCTAAATATATACTTTCTCAGTTTTCACTACACTTTTTTGTAGGTAGGGTTGTCTTACCTAACTTTCTACGTTGTATTATCCACTTTATGCTTTAATTTTTAAACTTACATACACAATTAATCCCTTCTTTTTCAACTCCTTTTTTCCAAAATCTGGACAATTGCATACCCTTCTTTTCATCAAGTTAATCATTCATCTTAATCTTGTCCTGGCAGTCCCACCCCACCCCCCCTCTCCATGTGATATTTAGTGCTAATTTAGTCTGTTTCAGAAAAGAATTTTCTTTTTCTGCTTTGTCGCTATATATGTGCAAACTTCTTTTTCTGCTTTTTCTGCTTTGTTGCTATAAAGTGTAGTGCAAATTTAGTCTGTTTCAGACCGTATATTACTTTTATCCTATCTTCGGCCTTTCAAGGAAAACGACTCTGTATGACTGTACCCTTCATATTTTTTCCCCTCTTTTCTTTTTCCTTTTTCTGTTGTTTTTCCTAATCAAACCGCTTCTAGCAAGATAATTTGAATCTGTTTTTACAAAATTCAGAAGGGAAATTAAAAACCAATGATATTATTACTCTTTATTACATTATTTCAAATTCGAGGGAAAAAATACAAATCAGTAAATCACTAGAATTCACTTAATTGTAGTATTTCATTTAGATTTATTTTAACATAAAACATTGTATCTACATTTGAAAACAGTGAATAATTCTTCCACTGAATTCTCATTAAGAATTTTTTAACAGCCAAACAAATGCCCATTTAGACCTTAAAATATTGATTGAAAACTCAAAATGGCCTTTTGATTTTACTATTAATATCTAATCAATGCATTGGATTTTCTTTAGGTTATATTATTAATTTGTTGGGTATGGTTAGGTTGGGTTGAAAACAACGTTTAGAAGTCGGAGTGTTGATAATTATTTTGATAATTAACGTGTAGATATATTACATTTAGATAAATTTCGATTCAATTCATATGGATTCTTTTTATAATTATATGTTTTTCAATAATTGTTTCATCGATACACAAATTTCTACCCGTAAACTTACTCGAGGACAAACTTCTTACTAGTTTATCCTAATCCATCGTTGGGGAAAAATTGATTACTTGATATGACCACGAATTCTGATGGCAGTCCAAAAAAAGCAACTTTAAACTGACAGCAAGGTTAAGATTCAACTGACCGTCCCCTTAGAAAGAAAAGTGTGTATACATATCCACTAACCAGCAACATGATAGGGTGAAATTGTATGCATATTGCGTATGCATAAATGATAAAATCACATCATTCATGACAACAAAACTAATACAAATAATTCGTGGATGATGGTATACATTTCTTTCTTCATTTTCTTTGCTTTTCATACTTTTTTTACCACACATTAGGTTAATTACTTTTGCTCGCCAAAGCATGCGTGATGCAGCATCAGCAGTATACGTAGCATTCCTTTGTTTTACTTGGACAAGAACATAGTGACGTTTAACAAGATGTTTAAAAATAAGTATTGACACAAAAAGATAGTGGAGATTTTGTAACGAAAAATGAAAGATCTTGTTTGTTGCTGTAAATGCTTGTATATGGAGTACCATATTTGAGCAGAAAATGCAACTAGCAGATGTTCGAATTCGAACTACTATAAACATGAAATATACTTCGGAAGTGCAGTGTTGTCATAGGAAAACTAGTGGTAATGAAAGTCGGTTTCAACTTTCAACAGAACATAGTGATAAATACAGCATCTGTTTAGTCTCTGTCTAATTATAAGTTTGGGTTAAAAGAGTATGTACAAAAACATTTTATGTATGTTGTTATATGGATGATTAACATTTTATCTACTCTCTCCCCGTTCCATAAAAAAATTTACATTGTAAATTATACATTATATTATTTCTAGTGAGATTCACATTTTTTAATATTGACTATTTTTGTGGGATAAAAGAAGTACTCTTTATTAAAAAAATCACCAAAATAGATAAATACATTTGAGACATCTTGTAAATGAGCTTAGCTTTTCTTGTCTTCTGTTGGGAATTACGAGTATTCATGCAATGATATGAAAATAATGTTAGTTAATTAGTACTCTCTGCTTGTCGGAATGATTGTTCAGTTCTAATTTTTCATTTGTAGTTCAAATTATATTAAAAATAAAAAATAATCAGACAATCATTTCGGTAATATAATTTTCTTTTTAAATCATACCTCCAGGAAAAAGAAGTGTTCTATTTTTATTCGTACAAGATTTAATTTTTGGTTTTTCTTTATCATTTGGTAAAAATGGATATTCAAATTGGTCGCATTACATGCACATGCCGACATGCGTCTAAACACTCTACTAGTTTTGGTGCAAATTTAATTATACGCCAAAATCTAAAACACCCAAAACCGTTATATCAGCATAGGTAAAAGATCAAGAGAACACAACTGTATGGAAGGATGAAAAGAAAAAAACAAAGGATAAAAGCAATATAGCGAGGACTAGGAATTAAATGTTTTTTTTACTGTGTTAAAAAAAGGCAAATTAATATAGGACTTTTTTGTCCAATTTTTTCTTTCCAACAAGAAGCACAAATTGAGATTAAGGGGAAAAAGCAATATGACGATATGAGGGACCAGCAGTTCGAAGTTTCAAAAATAAACATGCACTTAGTTTCATAATTTAGTATTCCCTCTGCATGTAATTTCATAATTAGTTTGATAAAGTACATTATTTTGTTATGATGGAAGGAAGGAGTATAATTTCGATAACAATTTCACACAATCTTTTCATCCCCGGTTGAGTCACAATAAAGATGTAAATAGATATTCGTGTCGATAGTTTCAGGCCGAATGTCTGATTGTTGATTTGGGCTAACCACCAAAAGCCCGACAAAACCCGTCCCAGTCCGACTCTCTCTGTTGCTGAATACAGAAATGCATCCTGATTAACTCTTGTAGCCTTTTTCATAAAAACAAAAAAAAAAAAACTCTTTTAGCCAATTCCAAGTCAATGCGGTTCTAATCCCCAAACATGGCAACTCAGCAATGGCAAGCGAGAAAAGAACCCGGCAGAGACGTTCAGGAACAAGAATCGAATGGATGCCTATGAAATCGGAACTGAAAATGCCAAACAAAAATGCCGCGACGACGATGATCTCTGATGGACCGAAGCTTAGCATCATAGGCAAAGCAATACACAAGCAAACTTGCAATGGCAAAGGAAGTTGTTTTCGGGTGAGTTTCAAAAAGGGATTCAGTTTTGCCCTGGAACTTCACTTGACGAAGTTCAGCAATGCTGCTACAACAAAGGCGAAAATGGCCAGTTCGGGTGGACACTATGTCCTGGAATTGTCCAAGATCAGACAATATTTAGTTTTTGAAGTGTCCTGGAACCATTTTCGGGTGGGACATTATGTTCAGAAAATTTCATCTACTTTTAAATATATATATATATATATATATTTATACAAATATATACATTGAATACAATTAAGATCACCATACCACACTTCCAAATAAAATAATGGCGTTTCCCTAATAGGATAATAATTAATACCGAAAACTACTGTAATTTCAACTATTACGTATATGCATGTTGACATTGTCTAATATCCCGTCTGTCACAGAAAAATAGTCCATATAATAAGTTATTATTTGTACTGTTTTCAGTACAAAACATAAATTACAATGTGGACTCTTTTATTTTATTTTTTGAACTGAGAGAGTAGTTGAATTAATTAAATCAAGGAAGGAACCAAGTATTATACTAAAATCCTTCCTACAACTCGTCTTGTTGATGCTCGCTGGTACCCTTCATGCCGACAAAATATGTTCTTGATGGCTACAATAAGCCAATCCCAAACATTTCTAATTCCCTTGAATCGCATTTCACACAAGGAGTAGAAAATGGCTCCTGAAAACATCAAGAAGCAAGAAATTCCAGGGAAAAGAACTGATGACACAGCTGCCATTGACAAAGGACCAAAGATTGCCATGCTAAATTGGAGAGAAAGAAAAACCAGAGATTCATTTGTACCATGATCAAAGGTACATAATCTCAACTTGATATCGTACGATAAACAATAAACGAACAAACACACGACAACTACCAACATGGTTAAGGGCCGGGTTTCGAATGGAGATTCGGGTTTTCCTTGGTATTGAATCTGGAGAAAGTTGATCATCACTGTCACAACGAAGGCGAATAAGGCCTGGCGAGATGACATATTTGTATCTTGATGAGATAATGGAGGAGAATGGAAGTGATTATTAATGGTAGTATAGAGTATTGTAGCTTGATTGATTTGTATGTTTAGGGTTGAACCTGGATGGAGTTCAAATTTTATAGTTACAGCTTCTGCCATTCAATAAGATTATATGGTAGAGAAATCACGCGAAAAATATAAACGAGGCTCTTGAACCCAATTAACTTTGGAGGGATGGCACTAATTTATACTGCCTTTCATTGCATTTTAATAATGCATTTTATGTTGCAAGGTTTTAGTGTGACAAAATATAATTCATCCGTCCCAAAATTATTGTGCAGATTACATTTTTAATTTTAATATAATTTTAACTAAAACTAAAAATCTAAACTGGACAATAATTTTGAAAAGGAGGGAGTAAAAGGAATAGAAAAGACAGGATATACTCTAACTAATGAGCTTGATCTATATGCAATTTGGCAAGTTGATTTCAGGGAAATTTCTACTTAAACATCACAGTCATTTTCGCAGTTTTGGGAAGAATTTTAAATTTTGTTAAGCACGTTGGTCATCACGAACATGCATTTGCCATACTATCAGATGTTGTAGATGATACCCGGGACAGTCTAAATCTGTTCAACAATTGGACTTTGTTGACTGGTCAGTGCATGTCTTGGTCTTTCTTGAAATTATATTTTAAAAAGATTTAGTTGGTAAATTAAACTCTTGATGGTATATTATAAAAAAAAAAATTAATAGCAGCCATTAAACCATTCAAACAGCTAGATGAAATAAAGGTGTACTCGTAATTTTACTATAATTACTTGGATATAATATTTTGATTACCGGTAATGAGTTTCGTAGAATTTCCAGGGGAGGCCAAATTCTCATTAAAATAGACATTTCAGTGTTCGTAATTGACTTGATACAAATATCAACCAAATCAATAAACTGTTACGAAACTTTTATTTTTTATTTTTTTAAAAAAGTTTTATTAAGATCGAATGAGAATTAAATTCATTGTCTCTACTTAAAGTTACTTGTAAACCGGTCAAGATATCCCCATTAGCAAAGTTAGACATGTTCGATGTACTTCCTCTTGTCCTTGTTACACAACATTTTCATTTGTCATAAAATTCACCTAGTATGTTTTTACAATTGAAGAAAAATCTTAAACATATTTTATAATATTTAGGAGATATCAATGAATGTGAAAATAAATTTTTAAGATTTTTTTTTTCAATTAGAAAAATATATTAGGCGAATCTTAAGACACATCAAAATGCTTTATAATAAGTAGTGGGGATATTAAACTAAAAAATCTTTTGTTTTAATACCTTCCGGTCTTTTATTATAAGGACATTTTGATTTAACATAAGTTTCATTTAGTATATTCTTATAATTGAAAATATTGAGAGAATATATTTTTAAAGTTTTATTTTTCTCAATTAAAAAAACAAAGTAAAAGAAATTTAGAATAAATCAAAATACCTTATAATAATGACCCACGGTTCAACAGTTACTTAATTCTTTAGTGTGTGACTATAATACTTCATGAAGCAAACGTGTTTACAGTTTTGGGTTCCAACTCCGACACAAATGGCAAACAAAAGTGTGATTAACATGTTGATTGTTGATGAGTAAATGAAGAAATGATTATCATGCACTGCATTTCATCTTCAACTTAACTTAAGAGATCAATTTTTTTTTAAGAGAGTGCAATGAGAAAGATTTTTGGCAAAAAATGGGAGAAATTTTAGATTATGAGTTGCATATTTTAGCAAAACCAAGGAATGCAAGCACTATAAATTTTCTTTTGTTATGTGTGTCGACCACTTTAAATCTAAAAAAAAAAGGCGTTTATAATTACGTTTTTTCTTTCTACCTTAAATATAATAATTTTTTCCGTCCCAAAATTATTAAAAAGAAAATAAAGAAGAAATGTTCGAGCCTATCAAACCTTGGAAGCTTTGTTGGAGAACTATTCAGGGGGGTTTGAATGGATTAATGTCTGTTGTTTTTTATTTTTACAGTGATGGACCCAAGTGGGAAAATGGTTTTTTTTTTGGGAACATAATTCATTCAGATATAACAGTATGTATGTCATTTTATTTCCATATCACCGCAGCCAGCTTTCATTGACTGAGAGATTCTGTAGAATGTTCAAAAGAATCTTCACTCTGACTTTTCTCTCCCACATCACCGTATAAGGTGGTTGTCTTCTCTGATAAGTGCTTCGATTTGAGTCAAGGAGATACATCATCACAGTGGGAAGTAAGTCGACTGTTGTCCAGAATGAGTTCAGTGGGGCATATCATCGAACAGCTAATGGACGTGGATTTTTACGCGGCAGAAGAACAAGAATCCGTAGAAATTTCCGAAGATGAAATCAGACAGGGATTAACAGAGTGCCGAAACAGTTGCTATGGAAGATTTATATGTCAGGATAATGAGGGGATGAATCTGATTGAGGCTAGAGAAGCACTGTCAAGAGCTTGGAAGTTATAAGGGGTAAAGGTTTTCAAGTCCCAAAGTAACAAAATTTTTCATTTCTTTTTCGAAACGCATGAGGATTTGTTGTACGTACTGAATAATGGAGATCTATGGGATATTGATGATCATCTACTGATATTGAAGAAATGGGAGCAGGGTTCACAACCCAAACTCGAAGATTTCGACAAAGTGTTCTTTTGGATCAACATTGTGGGTCTGTCGACGGAATTTTATACCAAGGAAGTAGCTGAAAAACTGGCAAAGAAGTCGTTCAACCAATGCACTGATGTACAGTTGAAGGAGAATGCTGAGACAGGGGAAAGGTTTATACGATTGAGAGCAATGGTGGACATGAAGAAACCAATTAGGAGGCTGGTCAGACTGATTGGCCCGGAGAAAAGAGAAGCTATAGGGCTGCTAAAGTATGAAAAGCTGCCTATTTTTTGTTTCCAATGTGGCGTAATTGGTCATTCGGCATCCTCATGCAAACATGTGAAAGAGAAGATGGAAGAGGTCAAAGAAAAGGTGAATAGATACAATCTCTAGTTAATGACCGAGAGAATCCAAGGCGAGTTAGTTTGGATGCAAGATTTGGAGAGAAACGTTGAAACGGAGGAGTCAAAAGGGAGCTTCAGTGAGTTTTCTGTTGAAAAGGAGACGGAAGAAACCTTTGATCAAGTTTGGAATGTTTCCTCGAATCAAGAAGAACCTGGAGCTCAAGAGAAGGCAGCATCTGAGAAAACTGAATTATTAGAAGAGAGCATTAAGGAAATTAAAGTGTCGGAAGGCAGCTTCGAAGAGTTTTCTTTGGAAAAGGAGGTGACCGAAACCTTTGATCAGGCGCACAATGTCCCTTGAAACAAGGAGAACCTGGGCCTCCAGAGAAGCATCTGATGGGAACAGTGGCGGCTCAACGTTTTCGGGGGCTTAAGGCGAGTTCTAAAATCGGGGTCTTTTAATAATAAAAAAACTAATTTTTTTTTTTTAACCCTCCTCCTTTTTTCGGGCTTGGGACCTGTAACTATAAACCCGTGAGCTTATAGCAGGCGGAGTTAAAAAAGTTTTTTCCAAATATTATTCCTATTAAGTTTTTCTTTCTAGCATTTTTTAAAGTATTGCTTATATTAAATTTATTTTCCTAGCTTTTTTGGTTGCAAATTTTTTTATGAAAGTTTCATGATCTATCTCTTCCAGTAAGTCATTTTCTATTGATAAAATAGCCAATCCATTTAATCTATCTCGTGACATTGTTGATCTTAAATAATTTTTTATTATTTTTAAATTTGGAAAACTTCTTTCTGCTAAAGCAACTGTTACAAGAATAGTTAACATTATCCTATAAGTAATATAAGCATTTGAAAAAGAATTAAGTCTTTTAATATAATTAAGTATATCTATTGGATTATAATTCTCAACATTTATATTTTCTCTTAAAATTTTTAGTTCATAAAATAAATCCAAACCGTCAATATCTAAATTATCATTGTGTTTTAACGAGTTTTGAAGGTTAAAACAACTTTTTTTCTAAATTTTTGTCATCAAGTGATTTCAATTTTTTCAAACTAAATAGAAAACCAAAAATATTTTCGTACATTTTAAAATTTTTGAATCTACTTTGTAGTGATGAGATAGTTCTATCAACTATATAAAGAAAATAATCAGTTTTGAAAATCTCTTTAGGGGTTTTAATAGTTTCATTCTCCACATTTTCATCAAACTGTTTCTTTGAATTTTACATTTTTCATCAAATTTAGGTTCTACATCCATCTTAATAGCAATTTTATTGGCAGACGTTATAGTGTTTTCGAATCCATCGTTTCTGTATTTTTCAAAAAAACTGATGAGACCTTTTAATTGTTCTATAGCATCATCAATACAAATATCTATTGTTTGTAAAGTTTTACTAACTGAATTAACCGCATACAATACATCAAACTAAATGACCATTCCCAACAGAAATTCGAAATTCTTAAGTTCATATGTTGCTAAACATTTAGCCTCACTTTTAATTTGGGGCTCCCTACTAGATACATCAGACAATGCTAATAATGCATCTTTTAATTCTAAAGTTTGAAACCTTATTGCCCTAACACTTTCAACACGACTTTCCCAACAAGTTTGTGATAATGATTTAAGAGTTAGTTTTGGTAAGTGCTCTTTTAGGATTTGCCACCTTTTGGTGGATGAAGAAAAGATTACATATATACGTTGTATCACACCAAAAAATTCAGTGGCTTTGTTACAAGAATTGGCCATGTCGCAAATTACCAAATTTAAACTGTGACTACTGCATGGAGTATAAAACGACCTGGGATTAATATCTAAAATTCTTTTTTGAACTCCTTAGTTTTTTCCTTTCATATTAGACCCATTATCATAACTTTGTCCTCTTATATCATTTACATCAAGTCCAATGTTATTAATTTCATCCACAATAGCATAAAAAAGTCCTTTACCAGTTGTGTCATTTACTTCCAAAAATTCTATAAAGTACTCCATAAATTTTATATAATCTGATGAAATATCTAAACACCTTAATACTATTGACATTTGTTCTTGATGACTTGTATCAGGAGTACAATCAAGTATGATTGAAAAATACTTAGCTTCCTTAACTTTGTTTACGATTTTTTTTTTGATTTCAAATCCCAACAAATTTATTAGCTCATTTTGCATGTTATGTCCTAGGTAATAATTGTGGATGTCACTATTTAAGATTCGATGAATATGTTCTTGCATTATTGGATCAAATTCTACAATCATCTCACTCGAACTCAAAAAATTTCCATTATTTTCTTGGTAAATTTTTTTATTCTTTCCATGAAAAGCTAAACCTCTTTTGCCAGGAAATTTTACAACCGCAATAATTCTTATTAATACATTTTTCCAATGTTCCTTCTCTCTATTAATTTGAACTTGAATATGTTAATCTATTGTTTTATTTTTTTTCAATCTCATTTCCAAATCAATCCATGCACTCATATTTGCAAAATGTTCATTACTTATTTCATGTTTCTTGAGCATAGAGCTCATATTTTTCCAGTCATTACTACCTTCGTTTGCTAGCCTACTTACACATGGAATAGCATCAAACAATTTACAACAAAAGCAAAAAACCCTATCCAAATCTATAGAATAAATGAGCCATCTTCTCTCATGTTTTTCTCCATTAGGTAACTTTTGAATATAATGAGTAGAGGTAAAATGTCTATTTTTGGTTTTTGGAAAATCTATATCTACAATTTTAATTGGACCCTTTTCTACTAGCAAGTCTCTTAATTTAATATCAATATTTTTCGATTGACTTGGATCGTAAATATTTTTAAGAGTTGAATTACTTAATTCAAAAATTTTATCTTCTACATCATCATCAGTTTCGAGACTGTCATTAGGCTTTTGACTATTTAATTCTTCTTTTTTCTCTACAAATTCATTATCATCAACATTTATAGGATTATTTTGATTATCTAATTCTTCTTTTTCCTCTACAGAACCATCATCATCAATATCTATAAGATTACTTTGATTATCTAATCATTTTTTTCCTCTACCATTTCATTATTAATGGCATCTACAGGATAACTTTGTGCATTTGAAAAGCACTCACATGGATTTTCTTCTTTATCTTTTTCTATTGTCAAAAATTTAGTCAATACCCTCCTTTGTGATTCTATTAAAGCTTCTTGTTTCCTTTTTTTTAATTCTTTTTGAGTGACCAGATTCATATTTTCTTGTAGACATCACTAAAAAAAATTAAGTATCTATAAACTGACTAAATTAATAAAATAATACTATTACAACTTAAATCAATACTGAGAATAAAAATAATAAAATAATAAAACCTGATAATTAGACAACTTATAAGAAATCCAATCTCTAGGAAATTGAACCTCAAACCTGAGAAAATAAGAAAATAAGGATTAGTTTTGAGTTGTTAGTTGAATTAAAAATTGAATCGACTCTATAAAAACCAATTAAAACATAAACTAAAACCAGTGAGATTCCACTTCATAGTTCATATTGCAATCTTTTGTAAGATTGAATTACATGTAAAAACATAAAGATAAAAGAAAGGGAAAAAATAAATTATCTTACCAATTTATTTTTCTACCCAAGAACAACAATTTAATACTCGAGGAAATAAAATTTCAAGGAGAAATTAGAGAAGATAAAAAATTTGTAGAATCACGTGACAAGAAAATAAATTGAGAAGATTAGAGAAATTTGGAGAAAAAGCCAAAAAGTGATAGCTATTGCTATAGATGTTAAAGTGGTGCGGATGGGATGACTACATGAGAAATGATGAATTTAAAGCCGTTGTTTCCTCACTCTTTTTTTTTTTTTTTGTGGAAAAGAATCATGTGATTTTTTAATTTATGGAAGGAATCATGTAATTGATTTGGTAGTTAAGAAGATTGGGGTAGGATTTAATGGGATATAATTGAGATAATTTAAGATTTAAATGGTGGAGGAAGTTTCAAAAACAATATTATTGTAAAAAAAAAACACTATTGATTTTACTTAATTACTTTCCCTATTATTCTGAAGTATAAAACACACGTGAATCAATAAATATTGAGTGGTCTTTTTTTTTTGGACTACAATTGGTCAGTATTTATAAGCTTAAGTTTTTTTTATAATATATATATATATATATATATATATATATATTCGGGGCCCTTCCGATTCCGGGGCCCTAGCCGATGGCCTATTTTGCTTAATGGGAGAGCCATCCCTGGATGGGAATGAATTATTAGAAGAGAGCATTAAGGAAATTCAAGAGATGGAAGGGAGCCTCAGCAAATCTTCTGGGGAAAAGGAGCCCACTGAAACCTTTGATCAGGAACAGAATGTTTTCTCGAAACAGGAAGGACCATCTGACAAGAATGAATTATTATTAGGGGAGAACATTATGGAAATTTAAGAGTTGGAAGGGAACTTCATCAAGTCTTCTGTGGAAATGAGGCGACTGAAACCTTTGATCAGGTGCAGAATGTTTCCGTGAAAGAAGAAGAATCTAGAACTCGAGAGAAGGAAGCATCTGACGAAAATGAATCATTAGAAGGGAACATTAAGGAAATTAAAGAGTCCGAAGTGAGCTTCATGTCTTCTGTGGAAGAGGAGGCGACCGAGACCTTTGATCAGGTACATACTGCTTCCTCAAAAAAAGTAGAACCTGGGACTCAAGAGAAGGCATCATCTGACAAAACTAAATCATTGGAAGAAAACATTAAGGTAATTAAAGACTCGGAAGGGAGGTTCAGCGAGTCTACTGTGGAAAAGGAGCCGACTGAAACCTTTGATCAGGCGCAAAATATATTCTCAAAACAAGAAGATCCTGGGGCTGGAGAGAAGGCTGAACCTGACGTAAATGAATCTTTATTCAGCTAAATTCTACCCGTTCGTGCTTTTGTTATGTATTCACACTCCGTTCTAAAATTATTGTCGAAAAATATTTTTTTTTTGACAAAAAAAGACTTTAATTGTAAAAGTTTCTCCCCAGTGGAGGACTCTGAAGCCTGTTTCTTGCTAGTAAATCCAGCTTAATTGGTCTATTAATTTTAGGAATTATGATCATAGTTATTCATATTCAATAAAAGTTGGACTAGCTTTTCAGAAATTGATACTTCATAAACAACAAATGAGTTCGACACTTTTGTTGGTGGCTGCTGATGGCCGCCACGCCAAGGTGAAGAAATTTACAAACTGACAGTGATGAAAAATTAATTTGTTCTATAAGAAAACAAACAATTTGCCTATTTATAAAGATCACTATAAGACAGTCTGCCTTCTTAGAACTTCAAACCTGTATAAACCACGCAACCAATTTATACGTAACCAACAAAAAATGGCAACTC